ACGTTATCTTTATTTTGTACATCAGGAAGGGGGGCTAGGGAAGGGTAAGTGGAAGGAGGTGAGGGAGGAATGGGGTACGAGCCCCTGATGGGGAGGACTGGGCTGGCTCTGCGGGCTTCTGGGGGTGGAAGCTCTCCTGCTGCCCCCCAATTGCCCCCTCTCCCCAGATGGCAGCCTGCGGCAAGTGCAGCCGGTCTGGTGGCCAAGTGCTGTGATGTACCCAGTGTGGGCACTCAGGGCACTCCAAGCCAGGACTGCTTTGCAAGCAGGGCACCCCTGAGAACTGTCTGTCCGGGGTGGGGGTCGGGTCCCTTTAAGCACAGCCCTCGGCTAGCCTGAGGCAGCATCTCCACGCTCTAAGTCCTCCTCTGATGCCCTGCCGGCACTGCTTCCGGCCATCCTTAACCCCGGTTCAGGGTCCACTTAATGTGGACATGCTAGTTCGAATTAGCAAAATGCTAATTCGAACTAGTTTTTTAGTCTGGATCCGTTAGTTCGAATTATCTTAGTTCGAATTAAGTAATTCGAACTAAGTTCGAATTAGCACTGTAGTGTAGACATACCCTCAGAGACGCAGCTTTTTCATACCCCTGAGTGATGTGACTTACATTGACTTAAGCAATACTGTAGGCAAACTCTTAATCACTTAAAATGAATCTTTCTGTAGTTAATAAATCTGTTTTGTTCTACCTAAAACAGTGCATTTTAGTTGAAGTCCTTGAGAAACCTCTGCTTAGTTTACAAAGCCTAGTATGTGTCCTCTCCACATCGAGGGAGGGATGGACTGGGTAAAGAACATACATTGCTCAGGTTTCTCCCAGACCAAGACCATGTAGCTCTCGGGGCACATCTAGACTTGCTTTCATTGTAAATCTCATTTCACTATAAATCTCACCATGTAAACCTCATTTTTTAAAGGAAGAACGGTTCTTTCAAAAAAGTTTTTTTTTCCTCAAAAGAACTACGTCTAGACTACTTACTTTTTCGAAAGAACCACTTTCAAAAAAGCGATCAGAAGAAGATATGCAAATTCACACCAAATTTGCATATTTTATTTCAAAAGTGAAAGCAAGTATAGACGTGCCCTGGGATGTAAGTAAGGATGGGGAACTGGATGGAATTGGCTGAAGTCTCTCTATTGTTGGTTAAGGAGTGGCTAGGAGAAGCATTCTAGTAAATCATTTGACTATGTCCCTGCCTGTGGATGTCTATAAGTGCAGTATCTGTAGTAAGTGTATCTTGCCAACAAGCATCACTGTGTGAGAGGGAGTCCGGGTTGGTAGGACAAAGTTCTCAGCAGTCCCACAGTCTAAGATGAACCCTGGGAACACCATTACAAGCATCAACAGCCTTAAGAAACAGCAAAGCCAAATGCACGTACTTGATTCTGTTTATATTAATGACTATTATTATTAAAATGCTAACAGTTCTAACATAGTTTTCGCAGAATTAATGTGTGTCAAGAGAGGAATCATGGGAGATTATTAGTTTAACCTTCCAATCCCCAAATTCCTGTTGTTCTGGTAGTCATCCCAGAATGCACTAAAAGAAAAATCACAGATCACAGTGCTGAGCAGTTAATTCAAACAAGCTTGGAGCCAGCAAAACAAAATGGCATAAATACACAGTACTGTATATTTAAATTGTTGCAGTCAGAGTGCACAAAAGTAGAACAATGTAGCATCTCTGTGTAAATGTGGTCAGAGTCCTCAGAACTGCTTGACAGCTATGTAAGGTAGACCCAATGCCTACTGCACTCAAATGAAAATGTCTTCAACCTCATTTATGATCAGGACACACAGTATGTTCCATGCCATATGGCGGTTCGTACTCTGTCAAAACTTTGAACAAATATTAACAAGTTGATCAGTCTACTGAAGTTGCTATAGTGTCTTTTCCGTGTTTTATTTTCATCATATACAATTGAAAAAAGCCACTATATAGCCTCTATTTGACTTTAAATTATGTTATTTTAATTTCTGTTTGCAGTCTCCCTGGTGATGGGTATTCCTACTGTGAAAAGGGAAAAACAGAGTTATCTGATGGGCACGTTGAACTCTCTCTTCTATGAGATGTCTTCAGAGCAGAAGAATGATTGTGTAGTGGTTATCTTTGTAGCAGAGGTAAGTTACTTGAACAGGTGTTTTAATGTTAATAAGGGGACAATATAGAAATCTGCGTGAGTATAGAAGTGTGTGAAGCATTTCCATTTACTTGTAATCATTGCTTTTGGAAGTGTCACGTTATGTTCACAGGCACTCTTGCTCTGCTTCCAGTCACTCTTTCTTCATATAAAATCAGAATGAAAGGAATAGAAAAAATTGTCATCCACAAAGCCTCCATAGAACCTGACAAAATATGAGCTTATTAACTTACTTTGAAAGAAATAGAGATATTCGTCAGTATTTAGAAGTATAAGTATTTTACAAGGTGCTTTGATACTCTAGCACAGTGTTTCTGAAAGTGTACCACGAAAACACTTTCAGAAACACTTTAACTGGCCGCCCCAGTTTGTTTATGTACTGGCACTGCGGCCATGGAGCTTCACGGCTCCCATTGGCTCCGTTTCCATCCTTTGCAGCCAAGGGGAGCTGCGGAAAGCGGTGGCCCAGTCCACGCCACTTCTTGCTGACCCTTTTGGCTGCAAAGGATGAAACAGAGCCAATGGGAGCAGTGAGACTCCGTGGCCGTGGCACCAGTACATAAACAAACCAGGGCGGCCAATTAAAGTGTTTCTGAAAGTATTTCTGCAGTATACTTTCAGAAACAGTGCTCTAGAAGATTGCATGTGAAGTGACATTTTTTTCTGAGAAAAGCAAATATTGTGGTAATATCTACAAAACATAGTTTGAAAATAATGTGCATAAATTAGGCTGCTTAGGGTAAGTGGGAATTTTCCTCTCCCTAAATCTCTTGTTCTTATGGTAAAAGAATGATAGCTATGAAATACACCTAACGTAAGTGCATTAGTTAGCAACAACTACTTGCAGACAGATGGTGGGGGTTGGGAAACTGTTCAAGACCCACATCCGTTCTCACAATCTATCTGTCTTTGTGCTTCCTTTAACTGCTAGTTTCCACTCATTTATTAAATGTAGTTATCAAATGTTAAAGATAAAGACATATAGTTAACCACATTTATAACTGTTCAACTATACATTTATACCTGGATCACCTTGTCTGCTAAATATCATCCTAACATCTCTTTGTGGTCCAGATCACTATGAAAATATCAATTTACTGGCTTAGTTTCTAGTCTAGCTAAATTTAGCAATTTAATTTTAAAATGTAAACTACCAGGACTAATCCCACTGTAAAATAGGGAGCCCTGCTCTGTAATGGGTCTAGGTTGCAGTGGCATAAAGAAGCAATTTATGATGAGTATGCAGTAATAGACTATAGCTGGCATAAAAGTGAGAAATACTTGCAGTAAAAGAGAAGTGGGCAGGACAACTCCATGGTGTCTCCTGCTGGTGGAGCTCCAATGGCTCCTCAGTGGGAGTTAAAGTTGTTGCCTCTGGATCCCGTATGGAGGGCAGAGGCAGAAATACACTAGATTTCCCATAACCAACTGACACAGTATTAATTAAAACAATCCCTGCCTACACTGAGTGGTAAGTTAGGTGCACATAGATAAACCCCAGAGGGAGGGGAGGCTAAGATGGATTTAAACCTTGTCCCTCTCCCAGAACATTTTCTCTGTAGTGTAAGGCTGATACAGCAGCTTTGCGTAGTGCCTGCACCAGAGGAAATTCCCATCAGACAGCTAAAGAATTTTTCTTGTCACTTTAAGTTGCGAGAGTAGTATAAGATTGGAAGGGTAGAATCCCGCCCCAGGAATCCTCAGGGTCACTTTCTAACTTGGTGTAATTTCCTAGTTTCAAAGGAGTAAAGTGGCTTAGGGCAGTGGTTTTCAAACTAGCAGTTGTGACCCAGTACTGGGTCGTGGAATGTCAGGCACTGGGTCTTGTTGCTGCAGGGTGGTCAAGTGACCAGTGGGGGTGCCAGGACAGGCTACCTGCCTGTCCTCGTGCTGCAGACTTTGCTGTGCTCCAGAAGGGACCAGCAACAGGCCCAGCTCCTAGGTGCTGGTTGGGGAGTGCACAGTGCTCCACACATTGGCCTTGCTCTGAGCACTAGCTCCACACCTCCATTGGCTGGAAACCTGCTTCTGGGGTGCCTAGCATAAAAAAAATAGGCAATGAAGCGTTTTGTGTGTATGCTTATGCCAATTAGACTGAAAATACTAAATTGGGGAAAATGAGGATGTGTGTTAGATACTTCTTTGTTATTCTTCTTCCTTAGGTGAATGCAGAGTATGTTAACAGTATTGCAGAAAGTGTTAGAACCAGGTAAGTCTTTCTTCAGGACACATTGTATGGCTAATTGTTTTTCAGTTTTTTCATAAAAAGTTGCAGTGTTTCAACAGTGAACTATAAAATTAAAGATTGCTGAAATGGTGCCATTGCTGCCATTACTTGCATTTCCTAAACATGCCTTTATTCAGTGATTTTAGATTGCAGTTCTGTCTGTGGACCAGGCTAAACTGTGTGTTTGCCCATATATATATTTTCTTATGGATTTCTTATTTCCATAGGGTGCTTTACATACTCTGTGTAGCCTGATTTTGGGACAAAAACCTTATTATCTTCTGAACACATTAATTGGCGAGTTTACAACCCATACTATCCAAAGTAATAGTATTCACCTCCTAAACTAGGCAACATAACCTTTGATAGATATATTTTCTTCAGTGTAAGCCTGTTTTTCAAGAACTTAATAGTGCAATCCAAGGTACTTTTGTATTCCCATTGACTTCAGTCTCCTAAACTATGTAGCAGTCTGTTCAGAGTTCAGTGACACTGTCTTTGATAGTTTGGGTAGCAGTTCTAATTTTTCAAGGCCTATGGCCTTGGATAACAGTCTGCTTCAATTAATTGAACTAATTCAGTTCTCTGTATTGACAGTCAATGTGAAGTAGTTTTGAAAGATTTTGAAAGGCTGAAATCAAGTGTGACTGTTATGAAGAAATACAGTTCAAGACTAAGATTTTCATTGTAATTTTACTTGCTCTTAACCTAGTCCCTGGTGGATGTTTACACTATAGGTTGGACATCCCTTGTCTGGCACCCTCGGGACCTGACTGGTCCCAAATTAGGGTATTTACCGCACCAGGGGAGGTCTCTCCCAGCATGGCCTATGCTGAACTCGTGGCCTCTGGTAGGGTTCCAGCCTGGCACCACTGCTGCACCCCAGCCATGGCTCCTCAGGCTGGAGCTCCCTAGCTGCCACTACCGGACCCTGAGCTCCACAGCTGGAACTCTACAGCCTCAGCTGGAACCCAAGTTCTGCAGCTGGAGCTGGAGCACCGCAACCTCTGCCAGATCTCTGCAACTGCTGTCAGACATGAGCTCCACGGTTGGGGCTGGAGCTCAGTAGTCACCGGCCACAAGAGGAACTCTCTGCTGTCCTCCCCACTCTGCTTTGCCCCCCCCATGGGACTTCCAGGTGAGTTGCTGCCCCCACCCGCCATGCTCCTGCCCCATAGCCCGACCTCCCTATACCTTGGCTCTGTGGTCCAGGAACATCCCTGGTCCTGCCGGACCATGGATGTTGCTGAACGAGAGAGTCCTGGTTAAGGGAGGTACAACCTGTAGTAACACATGCTTTTGAAACACTGAAAGCCTTTGCTTGAAAGGACTAGTGTTTGAATTGCCTGTTTAAATGAAGTATTGACTGCAACTACATTGAAAAACATTGCATTGTTGATGTTGCTTGTAAGTGTCAACTTATACTCACTAAAGAAGAACAATTAAATGCAAGCAGGGTGGAAAATGAAAAGGCCATTGAATGATAGAGTGCAGTAGATCATATTTACATCCAGAAATTGGGTCTGAATGATGGGATGGATCACTCAATAATTGTCCTGTTCTGTTTATTCCCTCTGAGACGTGGCCTCGGCTACTGTTAGAAGAAAGAATACTGGGTTGCATGGCTCTTCGGTCTCTCACAATTCTTTTGTACCCTGTTTTGTATTAATGGTGTTGCTGTTTATTTTTCTGATGCATAAACCTGATTCTGAATTGATTATCCTTAGTACATATAGCTTATAATTCCTAGAAGTGTTATTGAAGGACAGATCTTTTTAATTGTTATATATACTCTACCTTCTCTTACATCAATGTGCTCCTATTTGTTTTTAATCTTTCATTTGTACTTTCTGTTTTATTATATAAAATTATGGACTTAGTTTTGAAAATTCTTAAGTAGTCCTATGCCTACTGAAGTCAGTAGAGTACTACTAAAGATTTACTTAGCCCAAATAATAAATACTACTCTGAAGTAAAACATTTATTAAATATCTACTCTCAACAAATGCAGGATAGTCCTTGATCCTGCACAGAGGCTTGTATAATAAGCTTTTATATTCATGAGGAATCCAAATCAAGTCAATATGACCTTGTCTGCACTGGCAAAAAAGACTAGAACATGATCAGTCCAGATTTCTTAATGATCTTAAATTGAGCTTACAAAAGAATTGAATACTTGTCAACTAGAAAACAAAATATATGAGGGAAGACTGAAAGAACTGGGTTTGTTTAGTCTGGAAAAGAGAAGACTGAGAGGGGACATTTCCAGTACATAAAAGGTTGTTACAAGGAGGAGGGGAAAAGTATTCTCCTTAACCTCTGATGATAGAACAAGAAGCAATGGGCTTAAATTGCAGAAGGCAGGTTTAGGTTGCACATTAGTAAATCTTCCTGTCAGGGTGGTTAAACACTGCAGTAAATTGCCTAGAGAAGTTATGGAATCTCCCTCATTGGAGATTTTTAAGAGCAGATTAGACAAACACCTGTTAGGGATGGTCTAGAGGGTACTTGGCCCTGCAATGGGGACTGGACTTGATGACTTCTCAAGGTTCCTTCCAGTTCTGTGATTCTACACTAGAAAGTTGTACAGCCCTCCATGTGAATGTAGTAATATCAGTATAAAGGCACTTTATCCTGGTATAGCTTTTGAACTTCTTCTTTGAGTGATTGCACATATCCATTCTACTTTGTCCATATGCACAGATATTCCAGATTTTTTCCTTTATTGGTATCATTGCAATGGCTCAAGCACCCTTTCTCATCACTCATCATACATTCTGGTATAAGAGAATGGAGCCACCTCCAGTCCTCCTTAGTTCCTTCTTATTAACTCAGGTTCTTCCCTTACTCCTTTCTGTATGCAGATCCTTGTCAGTTGAGTCTCCCCTGTTTCTTCCATTGGATTCGGATGCAGTTTTCTGGGACCCTGGGTGTGTGCTCCATCTCAACCTCCAAACTCTTCATTTAACAGCATAGATGCTTCATGGCTGATACCTTTTGGAAAGTCCTGCTTTAAGGACAATACAAATGCTTTTGAATAGCAGAAAACTCTCAAATCGATGCACTTATATGGCTAAATGGAATCATTTCTTCATCTGGTATCATGTGAAAGGAATATATTTGGAGAAGGCACCACTGAACCTTATAGTGGACTGTCTGCTGTATCTAAAACAGACAACTTTATAATGATGCAACTAGCAGCCATTCTGGCCTTCCGCCTCTTGGTAAATGATAGATCCCTTTTTTCAAACCCCATAGCCAATTCCCAAAGGGCTTAGTCAAATTACATCCACGTGTAGAAAACTCCATCCCTCGAGATCTGAACTTAGTCCTAACATAATTGATGGGTCCTCTCTATGAGCTCCCGACAACTTGCTCTCTCCTTCATCTTTCCATGAAGGCATAGTTTCTAGTGGCAATTACCTCAGCCAAAAGGGTGGGTTGTCAGAACTCCCCAATACAGTTTTCCATAAGGATAAAGTTTTTCTCTGTCCTCATCCAAAATTTCTCATGAAAGTAGCTTCTGATTTTCATGTTAACCAAGCGGTCTGTTTGCCCTTTTTCTTTCTAAAACATTGCCAAGGCTGTTCCCCACTTTGGCACTTAAAGTGCAAAAGGTGGGGGCCCACAAGAGACTTTAAAATACCCTGCCACTAAAGGCGTCTGTTTTAAAAACTCCCAAAGGTCACAGATTCCCTGATCTTAGATGGTACACTGCCACCATCCAAATGCAAAAACCTGTTTGAGAATCCAGGAAAATGCATTTGAAAATTTCTTCCTGTGGGGTACCCTCAAGCTCTTTTACCCTCCCTTCGGAGAGAGCTTAAAAAACACTCTTAATAGCTTACCTTGCAGTCTTAGGCATGTGCACACAGAATCACCTGCCTTCTAGGACACAGAAATCAGTTCATGTTCTTAAAATGGTGATTTTTATTCACTAAACAAGGAAAACATATTTTACTTGGTTGCTAACTAAAAAATAAAGAGTAAAGGCACCAATTTGCTTCCCTGGGATTCAGTTTAAAAAAGACAGGTAGTAAATGGCCTCAGCACAGAGAAGTCCAACAAACCCAAAGATAACCTGATCACGTTTGACTAAACATTCCCTGTTCTACTTGATATCTGTACTTTGAAGGTGGGATGGGAGAAGGCAGTTCAGCGAGATCCAGGGCTCCTGGGGAGCCTGCTTTAAAGGCAGCTCCCCATGGACACTAACTCCTGCCTCCCCCTTTGCTGATATAGAGGCAGCAAGGGAGGAGGGAGTGCATGTAGTCATTTGGATTAACCAATAAGCCCAGGCTTACAAGCTAATCATTTAAACAACTATATGCTAACATCCCTAGTATAAGTCATCTTTATAGAAGACTTATCCAGTTTTGCCTGGGTCCTTCAGGGCAGGGGGCTGGCAGTGTGTGGGTGGTGCAGGAATCAGGGCACGGCCTTACAGAAGTTGGGAGCAGGGCAGGAGGCTGGGTGTGTGTGTGAATGAGGATTGGGGGATGAGGGAGGAGCTCACGTGGGGAGTCCCATCCAGTGGGACTTTCTCTCCCCCCTCCAGCCCCTCTGGTTGGCACAAGCCTTCTCTTCCCCTCTCCCCCGGTCCCTCCATCTGGCATGGGCCTTCTCTCTCTCCCCTCAGACAGCAGGGACCTTCTCTTACCCCATGGTGCTGCAGCCAAGGGCCAGGAGAGTGGGGACAGATTTGGGGCAGAGGGTGCTACTTACCTGGTCTCATGGCAGGCAAGAAAATGAGCCCTAGCTTGCTATTGTCTTGATGGTGCAACTGCCCCCAATGGTCACTCTGCAGTATAGCTCTCTTCTGTGCTCATAGCCCTGAGAGTCATTCTGCAGTATGGCATCCCTCCAAACAGCAGCCCCCTCCCTTTCCATGTTCTGGAAAATAATCCCATTCCCAGTATTTCACATTTGGGCTTTTACTAATATAACTAATTTAGTAGCATGTCTGAACTAAAATGGTTATTCCCATAAAACTGTAAAGTGTAGACCAAGCCTCAGTATGCTTTTCAGTTGTGTTTAGCTAACTCAGTTGAATAAACTTTATTTTTAAAACACATCTTTTTGTCCATGCACACATGGTCTGGGATTGAACACGGAGATAGCAATTGCCTGCACAAATATTTGTGCCAGGATTAGTACCTGGGAGCTAGATCCACAAAAGGATATGGGGTTTATCTACATGGTGAATAATGAACTGTAAGAAGGAGTGATTTCTCAAGTACCCTACAATGTGTATGAATTGGCTTATGTAGAGTGCATCAGTGGCAGGTCTGAGGGTTCCTTAGTGTTCAAACAGCATAGCATGATATAAAAGCAGACTAGGGAACCTTTGACATGCACCAGAAAAATCTACATGAACAAATCAATGTGCAGCACATGACTGTGCTTTAGAAATCACACCCCCTTTTGCCACATTACTTAACTGCCCCTTTAAGCAACCACTGAGATCTTCAAAATGTCTAGTTAGTTACTGCCTAAACCAATAGTTGATTAAATTCCTTAGGCACTAAAGTTTATGACAGTGGGCATGCACCAAACCACCTACATCCTGACTGTGGTGAGCTGTGGCTCAGCACCCTCACTGATATCTAAATCCCAGCAGGACTCTCAAACTAGTTGTTCTTCTGCCTGTCTCACCTGTGGAACTTGATCTGGTAGGAATTCTCAGGGCATGCCAGACAGTCGGGGGCATGCAGATCAAGAAATAAATGAGAAGGGTCTGTGACTGTAGTACTCAACAGCCCAGTGATTAGGGAATTGTCATGGGAGATCCAAGTTCAAATCCCTGCTTGAAACTAGGTTGAGCAGGGATTTGAAAACCAGATTTCCCTAAATGCTGTCATCTCTGGGGCATTGACTGGTGGAGTGGGCTCTTGTGCTCCCTTTTTGGTGAGAAAACTAAGGCTGACTTGACTTAGGCACCTAACTCCAGGAAAGGGTTCATGGCTGTACATTCCAAGTGGAGGTAGGCACCTCCCTGTGACCTGCACTTAGGCACTAATCACATTTGAAGCATGGAGTCTACACCTTGCTTCTCTCCTCAGCATTTCCTACTAACTTGCTTAGGCAGCTCCCTGATCAGCTTGCTGGTTTCTGAGAATCCCATTCTTTGGTGCCTAGCTTCCCCATGCATTGTATAACTTCATGCTCAGGATTTTAATGAGCATCAGGATACCTAAAAAGTTAGACATTGCAATGCTGACAGTGGCAATATTGGAGTCTTTTTGTTGAGTTAGCCCTTAGTTATTAATCTTTTCTTTACAGCTTCCCTAACGAAGTGCAGTCGGGTGTTCTTGAGGTTATTTCCCCTCTTGCATCCTATTACCCAGACCTCTCTAATCTCAAGGAAACATTTGGGGACTCAAAGGAAAGAGTAAGGTAAGCTAGGCTATGTACAATTTTTCCAAGAATTTTGTTCAACAGTAACTCCTTTAAATAGTCCACTGTATTTAAATTGATGAGGTTTGGTGTTTTTCAGAGATAAAGCACTCTTAGTTTAAACAGAAGGTAATTGAAAATGTACTTCATACAAGTGCAAGTATGGAGAAAATAAGTGCTGTTGTTGTCCATCAAATTCAGAATGACAGCAAAACATTCTCCCTCTTGTTCTGCTTCTGAAAATCCAACACATTTGAAACTAAATGTTTAGTGCCAGACGCAGATTTATAAAGATTAGAATAGTATGGTGATAAATGGCCTAACTTTTGTTGTTTTTCTTCTATATATAATATAATTAATCATCTTTACTAACTGCTGGTGGTATCATTGGCCCACTTGCTTCAATTTCATTAGCAGGAAGCTATGACCAGAAACTGGTTGGTTTACAGAAACCAGTAGGTTTTCATAGACCAAAAATAAGTTTAGATTGTCACCAACAGCTTTCATAGCTCTACTTCCATGTGCTCAAGAGCAATGAGCTGCCAGTTTGAAGCAACAGAGATGATAGCAGAAGAGTAGTGCATGTTTCATACAAAAATGAAATTGGGTTGCTTTTTTAAATTGAAGCCCGTTCTTTCTAGATAGGAAACATATTTGGTACATATGAGTGAAATATTCATAGTTGCTCTCATCGAGACCCAATTTATTAGAAATGCACATGCATAATTTTGTTTTTGCAGTAACACTCAAATTTTTATAGGTGAGGTGAGGGAGCAACTCTCTTATATGTAAGGTTGGTGGAATTTCAAAAACAATACAAATAAACAATTTTAATATTAGTAGAGCTGACTGAGAATTTTTAATCAAAATGCAATATCTAAAATTTGACATTTTTCACAGAGAATTTTGATTTTTGCCAAAGTTTTTAAATCTTCATTCAGAAACAGTTAAATTAAATATTTAATTTCAAGTTGGATTGACCCAAATTGAAATACTTTAGTGAAATAAAATCAAAATGTTTATTTTCAGCTCAGATCTGTGTCTACTTGAGCTGCCATAATGCCTCATGCTCCTGGTCTCTTCTTTGGCTGGATTTTTCTCTGAGGAATCACCCTAATCTCTTCTCTGGTCAAATGATGGTGGTGGGTCATGGGAGATGCAGCTGAACTGAGGAACATGGCCCAGAGAAGAGACTGGTGGAGTGACATGTACAAACTACAACTCCCAAGAGGCACATTATAGCTCAGGTCACCATTGTTCAGTGTCAAAGTGATGCAAAATTAAACATTTTAATTAGTTTGACAGACTAAACTGAAGTATTTCAATGTTTGAATAGGCTCATTTTTTTATATTTCTAAATCACTTTTATGGAATTGTATTCCATTCAGATTTTGATTTCTCCCAATTTGGGATGAAAATAAACTTTGTAGTATTGGAATTTCTCCTGTTGGGTGCTTGAGCACTTTCTACTTTGGCCTTGAGCTCCTTTCAAGTTTTTCCCCCGAGTGGTTATTTTGGCTTGTAAATTACCTTATATATACTCATTCATAAAATGACTTTTTTTGGAAAAAAATCCTATTGTAAAGAGTGGGGGTTGGCTTATGAACAGGTTTTTCCTGAGATGCAGGAAGCAGCACAGGCTGAAGAATGTACTGGCTGCCGGCACAGAACCTCTCAGCTCCCATGGCTGGGAGCAAAGAGCCTCCATGCCTGCAGCCACACTAGGATTGCAGTGGCAGTTGGGCAGGGCAGACTGTATGGCTGAGCTACCTATAGCCAAGGTACAAGACCGGTGGGCGGGGGCCCATTAACCAGTGGAAGCCACGAGAAGCAGCGCAGACTGAGGGACGTACAGGCTGCTGGCACAGACCTTCTCAGCTCTCATTGGCTGATAACAGCAGCCAATGGGAGCTGAGAGGCTCCATGCCTGCAGCCTGCATGTCCCTCAGCCCATGCTGACAAGCTGGAACTGGAAGTCTGTATTCTGGAGTTGGCTTATAAATGGGTTAGTGATTTTTTTTTCTGTTTTTTTTTCTCTGTAAGTTTGAGGAGTTAGCTTATAAATGAATGGGCTTATGTTTGAGTATATACTGTAACTGTCTTCTGATGAGTGCAATAGATTTTAAGGGATTCTCGCTTCTCAGAGGGAATGTTTTGGATGAGGAACAGATTAACCACAGGGTTTTAGGTACTAGATAAATGGCCAAATCATAGTCACTTTATTCATATCACTATTATTGTCCCCATTGAAACAATATGGGCAAGACTGACTGAAAAAGATTTGGTGACAAGTATGAAATGATCACCCCTTTGATCTGTATAGCTGAACAAAATGATGAGGTACTGAAAACTGAATATATCTATTATTGGGTAATAAAGTTAAAAATATTCCTAGGTCAGAAATTTGCATGGCATTTGATAACTAAAGTCATAAGATATCTATGTATTATAGTAATCCATTTATAGACATTTTTTGCATATTACTTTTTATAAATCTGGTACTTTAAAGTCTTAACAAATATATACTTTATTGATAGTAAAATGAGATAGTTTACTTTGTAGAGGAAAATTTACATTTTACCATTACATATTAAAATTAAGTTTATCAACCTGCTTCTGTGTTGACTCATAAAAGCTCACTATTTTACTTGCATAGTGAAATTTCAGTAAATTATAACTATGTTGACAATTACTATTTATAACAAAACAAGAAGAGCGTTTTAGTTAATCTGACTTGTATAATTGGTTTGTGTGCTGTGCTTAGAGGAAATTCTAAAACTGAGTTTATTTTTAATCAAACTTTTTTTTATTAGCTTTCCTCTGTTCCAGTTAATAGTGAGTAAGAGTAGTTGCTAGTATAGAGTTTGTAACAACAGTGTTCTAATGCCTGCACTATGCTGATAACTCTATTGAGAAATCTAGAGAAAGTTTAATTGAATTTGTTGCTTATATTTAGGTGGAGAACTAAACAGAATTTGGATTATAGCTTTTTAATGCTTTATGCACAACCTAAGGGAACATTTTATTTACAGGTATGTTCACATTATCAATAACCAGCTATAAATCAATAAATAAAATATGCTGACTTTTAGCATTGGCAGTTCAATTAATGTTAAACTACACTGTGAAGATAAGTCTCCTGTGTTTCTTAGTATTATTGCTCAAATCATTTGTAAGCATGAGTGTCCATATTTTCATAGTTATTCAGCTTTACACATATATATTATGTGATCTGAAATACAGTAGTTTCATTTGTACCTTCCTGACATTGCCAGAGCTGAACTTGCAAACTAACTAACCCATCAAACAACTTTCAGGTTAGGGAATTTTTTTAATGAGTTCTTGCTTGTAGTATAAATGCAAATGTGTTTATAGATTCAGGTGACAGCTCAGGTCATAACTGGATCCTAGGGTTCTGCACAAAAAGGTTTTTCCAGAAGAGCTTCTTCTCCTTTCTCCTGTAAGTGCTATTGGCTAAGTAAGAGTAAAAATTTCGAAGTGATTTAGTAGTAGAACTGGCCAGAGACTGAAAATCCTATTGTGCAGGAAATACTGAAAAGTTCACGCATGCGTGGCCCCTTCCCCTCCCCATCTAAAAGAGAATGAAAAATGAGATGTAGAAATTGCTCACAGATTGGGAATTCCAACTTGGCCATTTAATTTCAATCTTTTTAGAAATGTTTCCAAGGTTGCCCAGGACCCCAGCAACCTGCCAGGCAAGGAGCTGCACAACTTGGGGATCCTGCAAACTCTGAGATCCTGAGAGTCTCATTCTTCAGCAGCTCACTTTGCAGGCTGCCCTGGTGCCAGGAAGCCTGGACTACTGGGGAGCTGGAAGCTTCCAGTCTTGCAGGAGTTCCCACTAGCCTGTCAAACAGGCTGCTAAGGAGCCAGGCTATCAGAACTTCCAGGCTTCTGGCTCCATGTCAGAATGCCAGGTGGGGTCTTGAGGAGCCAGATAGGGGAGCTGGCAGGATACCAGGCACATTTTGGTACTCTCTGGTGGCAGGCGAGGTTCCATCAGAAACCTCTTCGGTTTCCATCAAAATTTTGTCAAAAAAGACTCATTGCTGCAGTATATGTTGGTGTAGCAGGGTGACGGGTGCGAGCACCGCTCCCCTTCCCCTTTTCCCCGGGGAGCAGGGGGGGCTCTGCGAACCCTCCGCCTCAAGTCCGTCCTGTTCACCCCTAGCCGGGTCTGTGCGTGGCACAAAGGCTGGGTGCGATCACCCCCCTGCCCTAGGTGGCAGGGGGGTTCAGCGAACCCGTGGCCACGTCCCGCCCCTTTCCCAGTGGGCTGGGAGGGGTTCGGCCCGAACGCGGGCCTTGGGGTCCCTGCCCCTAGTCTCACCCTCACAGGGCACGCGTCCGCTGGGCGGGGTTGCGACCCTGTCCTCGCAATGCCCTTGTCGCGGGGGTCTCGGGGTTTCGGGGGGGGTGTTTTTGGGGTTAGGGGTCGTGGGGAGTGGGGGACCCGGGCCCACCCTCTCCTCCGGGGCCCTAAGTGGAGTGCAGCGCCTAAGGGCGGCCCTCCACGGCCGGCGGGGCCGGGAGCCACCTTCCACTCCCCCAGCCGAGCGCGTTCCCAGTCACTCACCCCGGTGGAGGCGTCGGGTCCGTCCCAACGCTCCCCTCCAGCTGCCGACGCTGTCCTTCTTGTTGGTGCAGGGCCCCGGAGGCTTGGCATCTCGGGACGCCAGGGTGGACGCTTCCTTGCTCCCCCTTTGCTCGTCGTCGGACTGCCGCAGTTAAAGTCCCCCGGGAGTGACGTCAGGGGGGTTAACCCTGCCCCCTTGCTGCCTCCCCCTGGGCCTCCCTGGAGGCGT